AAGAAGAAAGGAGGAAAATTTTAAATTTTTAGCACACAATCCACTAGCCAACAGGGCAATGATGTCATCTTGTCACAGAACCTTGGGAAAACTCCACTGTACACTCATGAGAGAAGAAGAGTAAAAAAGGCGAATAGTGTCTTAGTGTTGTTAGGAAAATACTACTCTTGGCTGAGTAGCCAGACTCTACTCTGAGAGCCACTGACTGACATGGGTCCTGCCTTTTGGGGCCAGGTGGTGCCACACAAGTGAGCCCCAGAGAGGGCTTTGTGGGTACAGGACTGTTTGTGTGGAAGCCCCGAGACACAAGGGTTGTGGGCACAGAGCTCCTGGGCCCCTGACGGGTGGCACAGGTGGGAGACGTTTATCTGTGACATGATGCGTAAACTGGGTTCAGTCCCTCGGGTCATAGAACTGGGACCAAATTTGACTTTTTGCCTTTGTGGCCCTCTTCCTCTGCTTAAAAAAATTGGGGGATTGTGTTGTTATAAAGACAATTCATTATTATACATTTTTTCAGATTTTAAAATAAAAGTAAAACATTTTCATGGGCCATAGGGCACTACGCCTACTCTGCCTAAGGAAATAGAACTGTCCCTGTCACCTGGGGTGGGGCCCTTTGAAGTGCTAGGACTCATGTATGAGGAGGAAGATGGGGTACCCAGGGCGAGATAAAGTCCTCAGAACACCCTGGGGTATGTGCTGAACCCTTTGTAATGTGAGAGCTATGGATTATGTGATGGAAGTTTTCACACCTTCCAGCACCCACATCTGGGCTGGGGTGGAGAGTAAGAGTCACATAGTAGGACTCTCCTAGGCCACCAGCTGTTTCCCACTCCAGGGCACACCTTTGACTTGACGGCCCTGGAGCTGGGATGATGGGCAGGGACAGCCTGGGCTGGCTCTTACCAGCATAATCTCCTGTTTCTCTTTTGTCCCTCCAGGGAGGACCTCTGGGGTGGCTGAGCTCTTACCTGGTTTTCAGGCGGGGCCCTTGGAAGGTATGGGGGGGTGGAGTCCTGAGTGGGACTTCTCTCAGGAGTTTCCACACACTGTTCATTGCTTCTGACTTGGGTATTCCCCCCTCCCCACTAAACCCTGCTCGCTGTGGCCCCCCTGCTAACCTGGCCTGACTCAACTGCGTGGCATGTAGTGACCTGGCTCTGGGCCTCGGGGAGGGCAGGGCGGACTGAAGAGGTCCTGGGGTGCAGGCAGGGGATCCTGTGACTGGCACCTGCAGTGTTCTTCAAACAGGGGTCTCTGGGCATCTGGCTCTCTTCTTCCCTCACAGACGCAACTGTCTGCTTTGCTCCGGCCAGGGTGCCTGTTGCTTTCTGTCTTACGTGTTTAAACCCAGAAGAGGGCCCTAATCTGGGGACTGGCCTGGGCTATAGAGTGGTGACCTGCCCTCTGCTGCTGAGCCTGGGCTCTGGCACAGAGAACAAGCAAGGGCTGCAGGTTCCCCACGAGCTTCATACATAGTCCCCTGCGCCAGCTCTGCGCTGCCCTGCTCAGTCTGTCCATCCCTGTCCCCTCCCAGACCTCCTGGCTCAGGACTTCTTCTCCTCTCTCTGCAGACTGGCTTTTTGTGGTCATGGTTTGCCTGGCCGTCTTCCTCTTCTTCCTCCTCCTGGGCATCTGCTGGTGTCAGTGCTGCCCGCACACCTGTTGCTGTTACGTCAGGTGCCCCTGCTGCCCAGACAAGTGCTGCTGCCCGGAGGCCTGTAAGTCTCCTCGAGTGCCCACCCCAACCTGGCCTCCTTCCTGGGCCTGGAGCAGGGTGGGTAGGAAGAGGTGGCTGTCCACCTGCCCTCTGGGTTGGCGCCACTGGTCTGGAGGTTATGGGGTTAGCAACTGGGGAGAAAGCAGGCTGGGGAGGGTCTGCTATTTCAGATTATCATTGCTTTACTCTAGTTTTCAATTACTTTTTAATTCTCACTTATTTTGAGTTTTTTCTTTTGCTGGTATAATCCGTGTATATGGCAAAAAAGATGATGCCCAACAGTATAAGGTAATATTCACATGGAAGTAAAGCTTTCTTTTTTCTTTCTTTTCTTTTTTTTTTTTTGAGACAGAGTCTCACTTTGTTGCCCTTGGTAGAGTGCTGTGGTGTCACAGCTCACAGCAACCTCACATTCTTGGGCTTAAGTGATTCTCTTGCCTCAGCCTCCCAAGTAGCTGGGACTACAGGCGCCCGCCACAACGCCCAGCTCTTTTTTTTTTGGTTGTAGTTCTTGCCGTTGTTTGGCAGGCCCAGGTTGGATTCAAACCCACCAGCTCCAGTTTATGTGGCTGGCACCCTCTGAACTACAGGTGCCAAGCCAAAGCTTTCTTTAAAAACAAAATCTTGGCTGGGTGTGGTAGCTGACGCCTATAATCCTAGCCCTCTGGGACATGGAGAGGTGGGAGGATCCTTTGAGCTCAGGAGGTCCATGCCAGCCTGAGAAAGAGCAAGACCCCATCTATACTAAAATTAGAAAAACTAGTGGGGTGTGGTGGCAAGTACCTGTTGTCCCAGCTACTCAGGAGGCTGAGGCAAGAGGATTGCTTGAGCCTAAGAGTTTGAGGTTGCTGTGAGCTGTGACATCACAGCAATCTACCCAGGGCAACAGACCAAGACTCTGTCTCAAAAATAAATAAATAAATAACAGAATCTTAAGGGAAAGAGATAAGACATCAAACAAGGCTTATAGCACCACATAAGTTAAGTAAATTTTTAAAAGCATGTGTCCACACAAATGTTACAATTTTACCCAGCAAGGAAATAATCAGAGTGGGCACCTGTGGAGGGCTAAGAGCGGACCTGGGGCCAGAGCTGAAGGGGGGAGAAGCAAACCAAACAGAAAGGCAAGAGAAGAGAGTCCTCTCAAGCTACTGCCCTATTTCCATCCCTTCCTTGGGGACAACAGATGACTAGTCCCTAGTTTCCTTTGGTGGAATGTCTGAGTAGACCAGCATCTCTGCCCACCATCCACGGAGCAGTCACCAGGCAACCATTACAGCCTCAGGCTGTGTGTCCTCCACCATGAGATGGGGCTTGTGGAAGAGCTTGATGGACTAGGTACACCTAGAGATTTGGCAAACTCAGGTGCACAGCCCTTGGCTCATGACTTGGTTTATATATGATATACCATGCACACGGGTTGTCTGGCATTGCTGCTGTCACACTCAGCAGTGACTGAGGGCCTAGGAAACAGTTGGGAGCCCCGCCACACACACTGGGTGACCTCAGACAAGCAGCACTCCCTTTCTGAGCCCTGTTCCTTCTCTGGAAGGTCCCAGTCTCCTGGGGTGCTGGGAGCATTAAGGGAATACCATCTGTAAATGCCCAGGACCAGACACGAGGCACAATCCTTGCTGGCTGATTTTGTAGTCATTGGTATCAGTGGTGGGCATCCTAGTTCCTCTGGAAAAGTTCCACTGGTTCCTGTGGGCTCATCCTGGCCACCTTCTCCCCTCTGTTGTTGTGATTAGCTGAGAGGTTCCTGCTTGGGCAGTGGGTTTTAGTCTATTTCACAGATGGGCTACAACCAACTTTGTAGTTAGCCCACTGATTAGGACTGGGCCTGGGCGGCATTCTTCTGTCCCAGCAGCACACTCCCCCCATCCTGGGACCCTGCCACCCCAGCCAGAGCTCCTGTTAACTCCTGACAGGAAGCCTATCACTTTTGTCCCACACACGACAGGGGACAGCACTGCCCTCTGCTAACTATAAAATGGCATGTTTTCTGAGCCAGTGATGCCGCTTCTCCTAAGTAGGGCCATGTACTTAGCCTTCTGGTTCCAAAACAGAGGTGAAGGGAAACTTTGAGCCCATCTCTGCCTTCCATTTTCTTGTTAGTGTCCCAGGGAGGAAGCGACTACCTAGTGCCTTACCAGGAGGAGGAAAAACAAGGAGGATTTGCCCATGAGCTGTCAAGCCTAGAGCCTGGGGGCAGGGGTGGGTGGGACGGTGTTGGGAGGTGGGTGTTGGGAGTTGGGTGCGGCCTGGGAGCTGGAAGCACTAGGAGGTATTCTGCTGCTCTGCCAGGGCTGGTAAGTTAACTAACTACTGAGGCTCCTGTCTCAGACTGACTTCCACCACCTCTGGGTCTGGAAGGTGACCTGGTGGGGAGGACCCAGCATGTACGAGCACAAAGTGAGCAGTGCCTCCTTCCAGATAACTCGTTTTTCTAGAACAGGGGCTCAGTCACCAAAGTGGGTACTCGATTCCAGCTCACACCTGTAATCCCAGCACTCTGGAAGGCTGAGGTGGGAGGATCCCTTGAGCTCAGGAGTTTGAAACCAGCCTGAGCAAGAGCAAGACCCTATCTCTCTACTAAAAGTAGAAAAATGAGCCAGGCAGGTATTCGGGAGGCGGAGGCAGGAGGGTCTCTTGGACCCAGGAGTTTGAGGTTGCTTTGAGCTGTTATGACACCATGGCACTCTAGCATAGACAGAGACTCTCTCAAAAAGAAAGAAAATGGGTGGGGGACAACTTTGCCCGCTATTGCCCTGTAAGCAGGCCCAGGGTGGGCACATCTTCCAATAAGTCAGCTGGAGAGTGGGAATTTCATGTAAAACTTTTGATGGTCAAGTGTTGGCAAACCACCATACTGTTAAGCTAAACATGCCTGTCTGCCACATTGGGTTTGTGGGCTGCTGGTGTGCGCTGCCTGTTCTAAAACTTCTGTGAGGAATCACACAGGACATCTCTGATGTCCCCTAGCCTCGGGAATGCTGCAGAAATGGAATGAAGACCATCAGGGACCCAAGTCCATAGGGAAGCTTTACAACACCGGGGGTACTGGGAAGGTCTAGGCCCCTGTCCCTCCAGAACCCCTGTGGGTGGAGGGCAGCATGGCTCCTGCCCACTTTCTCATGTAACTGTGTTTGTCTTCCTAGTGTATGCTGCTGGTAAAGCAGCCACCTCAGGAGTCCCAAGCATCTACGCCCCCAGCACCTATGGCCACTTGTCCCCAGCCAAGACCCCACCCCCACCAGCCATTATTCCCATGGGCCCTGTCTACAACGGGTACCCTGGTGACTTTGACAGAAGCAGCTCAGGTGAGGCCTGGGGAAAGCAGGAGGAGCTGGGTGGGGGCAGGGGTGGGAACGAAGGGTTTGGCTCCAGGTGAACAGCCACTGACAGCCAGTCTCTCCTAGTCGGCGGCCACAGCTCCCAGGTACCCCTGCTTCGTGATGTGGACAGCACTGTGACCTCAGGTGAGAACCCATCATCCTGAGCTTGGATGTGCCTGCTGGGGAAAGGACTGAGCTGGCATCCTTCCTTTCAACCTGACCACCTCCAACCCTTTGTCCCTAGAAGTTCGTAGCGGCTACAGGATACAGGCCAACCAGCAGGATGACTCCATGCGGGTCCTGTATTACATGGAGAAAGAGCTGGCCAACTTTGACCCTTCTCGACCAGGCCCCCCGAATGGCCGTGTGGAGCGGGGTGAGCTGGAGCCCTGGGGTTTGAGGGCTTCTGGGGGAGGAGGGAAGGGAAGCATGACATCTTGATACCTGTCCCAGGGATACTTGCTGCAATTCCTGTTGTAGTCCTTACTTTCCTACCATGGCCCCTAGAGAAGGTATGAGTCAATAGGGTGACACGGCTGGAGGACCTCAGGCTCCTGGCCTACCTCCAGCAGTGACACCTCCCCCTTTCCTTGCAGCCATGAGTGAAGTTACCTCCCTTCATGAGGACGACTGGAGATCTCGGCCTTCCCGGGTCCCTGCCCTCACCCCCATCAGGGATGAGGAGTGGGGTCGTCGCTCTCCTAGGAGTCCCAGGAGATGGGAGCAGGAGCCCCCTCCAGAGCGGCCAGGAAGTGGCTGGAGGGCTGGACGTCCTCGGGCCCACTCTGTGGATGCTCTGGACGACCTCACCAGGCCAGGGTCTTCTGAGTCAGGGAGGCGGTCTCCTCCAGGTAGAGGGAGGCGAGGCCGGGCCTACACGCCCCCTAGAAGCCGCAGCCGTGACGACCTCTATGACCCAGACGACTTGAGGGACTTTCCTCACTCCCGAGATCCCCACTACAATGACAGGTCTAGGGATCGTCCTCACGCTGATCCCAGGTCCTACCCCCACCGGTCCCAGGACCCTCGGGACAACAATTCCAGGTCTGAGGACCCTCAATATGATGGGAGATTACTGGAAGAGGCCTTGAGGAAAAAAGGGTCTGGGGAGAGGAGGAGACCTTACAGGGAGGAAGAGGAAGAAAAGGAGGCCTACTATCCCCCAGCGCCTCCCCCTTACTCTGAGACGGACTCCCAGTCCTCACGAGAGCGGAGGCTTAAGAAGGTGAGACCAGCCCTCTGACTTTAAGACCCTTCCTGGACCCCTCTCCTCCGGAGCCCCCCAGTTCATACTTTTTTTTTCTCCTTTGCAGAACTTGGCCCTGAGTCGCGAAAGTCTAGTCGTCTGATCTCTCGTTTTTTGTATCTTTTTTTGTATCTTTTTTTTAAAACTGGAAGTAACATTGATGAAGGTCTTCCCCTCTTAAGTCTAAATAAAATTTATAATCACAAGGCGAAAGTCTCCAGAGAAGTGTTTGTTTTGCTGCGCAAGGTGGGAGGCAGCTGCGTCCAATCTCGGGAGGAAGGCACTGTCCGCCCGCAGCCTCCTCCCTCTGCCCAGGCCAGGAATACGTGCCCCACGCCTTCTCCGCCTGGCTTCTGCGTGCGCGCACCAGCCCCGCCCGGACGTGCGCATGCGCCCCGGTCCTCCGCGCACAGCTCCCGGGCCGCCGGGAGCGCGCGCGCGCCCCCTCCCGTCCACCCACTTACCCCTCCCCCTCGACCTACTTTACTGTCCCCTAAACCCTGGCGGTCCGCCTGGTCCCCAGCGACCTGAGCCCCTCCTCCGGGTGCCCCGACGTTCCATTAGGGCCCGCATTCCACCTGGGTAGCGCGCGGCGGGCCCCGGGGGCCGCGGGTGGCAGCGACGGCGACCTCGCGCCCCGCCGAGACCCGGGCCCCACGCGCGCGCCCGCCTGCCGAGGAGACAGACAGCGCGCGCGCTCCCCGGGGGCTGCCCTCCCCCTGCGCGCGTCGGCCCCGGGCTCGCGCCGCCGCCGCCGCCGCGCGCGCGCAGCTCAAGTAAAGGAGGAAAAAAAAAAGGGGGAAAAATAGAAAGCCGCGGCTGCTGCAACAGCGATCCGCCGCCGGACAGGGCTAGGCTGGGCGGCGGACGCGCGAGCCGGTGATCCAGGGGACAGGCGGCGGCCATCCAGGGCGGGCCGTGTTAAAAATAAAAGTCGCGGCGGCGGCGGCTGTTCAGGGAAGGAGGCCCGAGGGCCGCGTGAAGCGGGCGGGGGGCAGCCGCGC